TACCAGCAGCCCAGACTGCATCGAAGAGTTGATCTTAGTTATACGAAATCATGAGCGACATGAAATCACGAAATTCAAAGGCCTGTAAGCCTCTCAAGCTTTTGCAGCTACTGTAATTTCGTTTTTTCCCAAATATCGTTGTGTTGAGCCTTTTCTTCCTTTCAATTTGAAAAGGTTTTGGATGGTCATATAACATTGCCTGGTGGACCTATCTGTATAATTTGGAATTTCAAGGAGTGCAAAATGTCGCAAACTCCCTGGCCTCATCAGTTTGTGAATCGATTTACTATTACTTTTTTAATTACAAGGTATCCTACAGAGTACCAAGATATCAGACCCGGTGCACGTAGTGCTTAGTTTTTTGTTTTTTCATTGTATATTGCCTTTTTATCTCTGCATTGTTCTTGCCATTCGGGTGTCTTCTTCCTTCTATTTTAGACTATTGATCTGAATTATTGATTTTTTGTTAGTGTAGCTCGAATGGGCCTGGAATCGGTATGAGTTGAGTACTGCGTAGTAACTGATCATTCTTTGGTACTCTTCGATAGGGTGCTAGTTTCGGTATTACTATTATGGTTTTGCCTTTATGGTTATGCTTTTTTCCTGTTCTGTTAATTTAGAATATGGCAGGCATGGAAAAGAGGGTTTAGGCCCAAAACTAGTAATGCCTCTACTAGTTTCCGTGCACTGTTTATCTAGCAGATGTTAGTGGTGAATGGAATTGTGACGAGAAAAAAATGGAAAGATTATATTCTGTAAATCTTGACATTAAAAGTCCCTTTCATCTGTTTGCATGGTCATCTTTCATGTTTTTTTTTCATATTTTTCATAAATGTTGTTTGGTTGTATACTTTTATTTTTGTAATTGTTTAGTTCAACTTTCATTTTCTAGAGTTATTCGAGTTTTCAGTTTTTTTATGCCAACCAATTCTGATGCTCTTCAATTTATGTGATTTTCCGAAGGTTGGTTCTGTGAAATTATCAATGTGTATCAGAAAAAAAACTTCATAGCAAAGTTTTATTTGTGCTTCCAATTGCTTTGCTTGTTAAATTGATTTGATCTCACTTTGTATTAAAAGTCGTAAAATAAAGATTTCAAAAGTACATCAATTGTATCTTTACATGCATAACTAGTTCTTTTCTAATACATATAAATACATCTCTAACAATAATGGCACAGAGTACGGTAGCTACCCGAGTGTTGAGGCGAAAATGTTTTGCATGATTTTTGGCAGATCTGAGGTGTTCTCGCAGACGTATGCCTTACCTACAGGAAGCGCTGCTTGTATCCTGAAAGAACGAGTATAAGCTAAATGTAACTATAAGGCTGGTACCCGCAGAGATTTATGTTATTTTGGGTAGTAATATTACCTTTTGACAAAAAAAGTAATTTTTTTAGTTATATTTTGACCATAAAATACTTGGAAAACAGGTGGTCACCCTCAAAGATGAATGTTTGAAGTTCTTTTAAAAATACGATTCGGCCCGCGACTGGTCGCGCGACTGGTCAAACGACCGGCCGCGC